CACCACGCAACACCTGCACATCCACGGACACCAAGCAACATCTGCACATCCACGGACACCACGCAACACCTGCACATCCACGGACACCAAGCAACGTCTGCACAACCACGGACACCACACAACATCTGCACATTCAAAATCAGGCGCACACACACGCATGCCTTAAACACATCCACACCCATGTAGACACACTGCATTTGGAGGTCCCAATACTCCCGGAAAGATCCATAACACACAGTCCGCGTGGGTCCCTCATGTGCAAGTCTGATAAGGCTGTTATTTTGCATATTGGAAAAAAGCTTTTTTGAAAAAAGATAACAATTACTTATTACTCTCAGCTGCTTGCTTTCTTCAGGTCATGAAAAGGGCAGGAGAAGGCGCAGTCTGCACACAACTGCAGGACACACAGATATGTGTGCACACACAAACAAAAACACCATGCACACAAGAACACACAGACACACTTGTGCTCATGTGCACACACAGATGCACATGTGCACACAGACACAGATGTATACGTGCACACACAGACACACTCGTGCACAAGTGCACACAGACGCACACATGCACACACAGATGCACAGGTGCACACATACACATAGACGCACACGTGCACAGATGCAAACGTGCACACACGCTCGTGCACAAATGCGTGCACACACACAGACGCACATGTGCACACACATGCACAGATACACACAGACACAGACGCACATGTGCACCAGACGCACAAGTCCGCACACATGCACGCGTGCACACACACATGCACAACACACTCGTGTACACACAGATATGGTAGATACACTCCAGATGCACACAGAAGGCACACACTCATGCCCAGTACACACCGGCACACACCAACATGCAAATGCACCAGAGACTGGGAGGGCGGAGATGCCGCCTTCCTGGCCGGGTTCATCCAGCAAATAGCATGTTCCTTACCTGGGAGGGAACGAGATGTCCAGTTCATACAGTCTGTCCTTAAAGACAGACAACTCCTTGTCAAACTCCAAGAGCTAAAGAAAAGAAAGAGCAGAAAAAGTCACATTGGTTTTCCTTGCTGGGGGCACGTGTGTCTGTGTGCACCTGGGACGCTCGAATGCTTGGTGTGACATTTGCCCTTCCCAGAGCTGCCACATCTGTCACCAGAAAGCTCTGTGGTGCCAGCAGGCTCTGGGGTCCGCCTGCTCTGTACAGACAGTGGGGCCTGCGCCGCCCGCTACAGGTGTGCTCTGCCCACCCAGAGACCTTCCTCTGTTGGGGATGCCAGAGAAGCACTCGCGCCCTCAGGCACCGCCGTGGCAGCCCCAGCAGCAGCCCCTCTCGGCCTCTCCTCCCTAGGGCTGGCTCCCCCAGCAGAAGGAACACAGCTCCTGTCCTGCCCTGAGTGTCACGTAACTTGCAGAGTAAGCAATGTCAGCTTGGTGAGAACAGGAGGGAAAACGGTCCCAAGGTGCACAGTGGGGAGATTCTGGCAGCAGCCTGGGGGCAAAATGTTCATTCCCACATGCACGGGAGGCAGACAACGGCCTTGCCCCCGAGACTCTTCCAAAACAAGCCCAGGCAGGCATCACCTCCCACCCCTGCAGGACTGGCCCCGGCCGTGTTCCTGAGCGGTCACCATGCACACCCTCTCCCGTGCTACTCATTAGTCATGTCCCCACAGCTGTGCAGGGCATGGCGTTGAGCCAGGGCTCCCTCAAAACCACACCACATTCTGGCTCTTCCTGTGACCTCGTCCGTCATCCCTGAAACGGGCACTCAGCAGCCTCATGCACACAGTCATTACCCTGTGCCAAGCTGCTACCTGAGCCACCGGCCCAGGCCTCCTGCTTGGAGCACAGTTCACAGCCCCGCTGCCTCCTGCCTCCTAAGAGGGTACGGCTCCAGCTCCCCTTCAAGGGAGCAACTCCCTCCCTCCAGCACCCCCGGCCTCTGGGAGGGGCCCCAAGTCAGCTTCTCAGTGGGGTGGGGATGCAGTGGAGGCCTCGGGAGAGGGACGCCCCTCCTCAAAGGCAGAGCAGGGGCATGGGCTCTGGACCAATCCTGCACATGTGTGTTTATGTGTACACAGGCATGTGTGTGTGTGCATGCAGGCACGTGTTTATGTGTGTGCAAGCATGTGTGTGTGCATGCAGGCACGAATTTATGTGTATGCAGGCGTGTGTATGCAGGCATGTGTGTGTTTGCATGCAGGCATATGTTTATGTGCACTCAGGCATGTGTGTGTTTGCATGCAGGCACATGTTTATGTGTGCACAGGCAT